TGACCCCTCTCCAGAGAAGGTCAAGACCACTCCCACAGGCTATTTAAACTGCCCCCCCAGAGAACAAACATGTGGTCTTTTCGGTTCTCCTTTCCCCACTCTGTGTTTTAGGGGGGGCGCACTTGGGAGTGCTGGCATCCTTTAAATCTGGGCTTCTTCTAATTTGGCCTGATTTGGATCATTGCATTGGCAGAGAGGTTTGTCAGCCCAGAAAAAAACGTAACACTCTCAACCAGGGTAGGGGTGTGGGAATTTTAGAAGTATTAGTAAATAATATGAAGATGCATAAAATATAACAGGGCAGAAACCATAGACAGTATCGGGAGGGCATTCCAGTGACCGAAATCCTGAAATCACCTGCATTTATATCTCCAAAGCTTTTATACCAACATAGATGGGGGGGAGGTGGAGAGGAGAGATAACGAAAGACTTTATTAACATAATACATTAACATGATACAAAGGAAAACACAGTCAATTTTTTATCACTCTGAGACAGCAAATCATTAGCATTCTGTAGTCTAGGTAGCAAAGGTGCTCTAGATAACGTATCCTGACGTTATAAAAGAAGGAGCTGTATGTAACATGAACGGGGTGCCTGTTTGTTGTTGGGGTTTTCGTCCTGCCCTGTTCCCCAGCTGTTTAGTTCCAAAGAAAATCACACATAGATCTCTATAAGTTATAAAGCTGATTGTCCCATTAGCTCTAGCCTCCCAGTGGCTAACTCTCACATCTTGATTAACCCATTTTTCTGATCTATGTTAGCCACGTGGCTCAGTACCTTTTATCAGTGGGGCAGATCAAATCCTGCTGCTTCAGTGGTCTGGACAGGAGTGGGAAGAATCAACTTCCTTCTTCCCAGAATTCTCTTGTTCTCATTACATCATTTCTACTTCCTGTCTGGTTTTTCCACCTATATTTACTGCCTGGCCAACCAGCATTTATTTATAACATGACTGACAGAATACAGACAATTCTCCCGCACCAAGGAGCAGAAGTATGTTTGCATATCCTGACCATCTGTCAGGATTGAATGGAGTTATCTTAATGCCAAAAGAACCATACAATCACATCCTTAGTTGGGACATGCAACTCTGCTTGTTGATCTTTGAGTAATTTTCAAACTCTCTGACCATGAGACAAGGTAGAAATGGGCCCACATTTTTTGGGCTCCACAATTATAATCCCAGTATTTAGAAAGTTGAGGCAGGAAGATTGCCACTAGTTCTGGGCGAATTCTGCGTCAAAAACTAAAATAAAACAAAACAACATAAAAGAGGACAGTGTTAAAATTAATCTTGATGAAAAATACTCATAAGAGGGGTCTAGAAAAAAAGCAAGAAAAAAGAGGGAGAGAGAGAGAGAAAAAAAAAAAGAGGGGTCTAGAGAGATGGCTCAGTGGTTAAGAGCACTTACTCTGGAAGACCCAGGCCCAACCCCCAGAATTCATATTAGGTGGTTCTAAGGGGATCCAATCCTCTGAACTCTTAGGTATACACACATACACACTAAAAGTAAACAAACAAACAAACAAACAAAAAAACCAACCAACATATTCTCTGTGAATGAACCTTAGCATTAAAAATGGTTCAAAAATAAATGGCCAGGTGGTGGTGGCACACACCTTTAATCTCAGAACTTGGGAGGCAAAGGCAGGGCATCTCAGTGAGTTCGAGGTCAGCTAGGTCTACAAAGTGAGTTCCAGGACAGCCAGGACTGTTATACAGAGAAACCCTGTCTCAAAAACCAAACAACAACAACAACAAAAAAACGTTCAAAAACAAAAGAGGACAGGAAATTAGGGCATAGGGAAGATGGAGTGGAGCTGGGAGGAGTTAAAGGGAGGAGTTGGGGTGAATATATTCATATGCTGTATGGAATTCCCAAAGAATTAATGAAGATATTTTAAAAAATTCTTATAATTACAAGTAGTAAAGTACTAATAAACGATCTCTTTTCCTTTGGATTTTTTTGAGACAGGGTTTCTCTGTATAACAGCGTTATCTGTCCTGAAACTTGCTGTGTAGTCCAGGTTGGCCTCAAACTCAAAAGAGATCTGCCTGCCTTTGCCTCCTGAGGGCTGGGATTAAAGTTGTGTGTCACCATCGTCCAGCAATAAATGATTCTTAATGGTATGATTATTTGCTAAATAATTACAATCATTACGTTTATTATTTTGTTTGAGGCCAGTTCTCACTATATAGCACTGGCTGCTCTGGAATTCAGTGTAGGTAGAAAAAATTATCCTCAAAGTTGCGGCCATCCTCTGGCCTGTGCCTTCTGAGTGCTGGGAATAGAGGTGTGTACCACCACACTCAGCTCTATATATCACTTTATGACTGCCATGTTATTGTACCTCTCATTATCTATGGTAAGGTTTCGAATCTCAGACTCTCCTCTCTTCTCTTTTCTCTGTATACAGTTCCCATTTTTCACAGTATGTCTTGCAAATAAGAAAATCCAATATTCCAGACCACTGAACTGAAAGGAATGTGCTGGGAATGAGTTAGGGTAGCCTTTGGTCCTTCATGATGGCAACTCAGAGTGACGCATAAACCATGCCAAGGGCAGCTAGACCCCACAGATGAGAGCCCAGGACCAGCTGAGTCCTGACTTCTGCCGCTGTGTCATGCTGTTTATGCAGAGGATGAACAAAGGGAGGGCATTAGCTGATGTTCAGGCTTTTAAAGTTACCAGGTGTATTTGCCTTTTGTTAAACAAATTGAATAAGCAAATGTTAAACTGATTCCTTGAGGCTGAGTGCGAAGGCTAGGTCGGGCTGGTGACCCCAGCACTTGAGAGCTGAAGCAGGAGGACTGTCACCAGTTCTAGGCCAGCCTGTCTCAAAACACAAGGAAAAAAATAGGAAAAAAAATAATTGCCCAAGACAGTAATTGCAGAAATGACTAAAAACCCTTAGTAGGCATTATCAAATACCGACTTTTGTTCTCCGATTCTAACATGTTGTTTGAGATGTCAATTTCAGATGAGCTATTATGATTTATTGACTCCATGAATACTTGGTGAATAACTATTAAGTGTCAGGCACTTTATCATAGTCTGGAGACTCAGTGAACAAAACCAGACAGGGACGTCTTCCTTCAGTTTCCAGTCTGGGGAAGATGGAGCTGGAGAGGCTGAAAACTGATTAAAAAAAAAAAAACCACAGAATCGAATAGGGAAGAGGCCAGGTGCTACTACAGGGACCAGTACTCTAAGGACAGGTGTTCAGTGGTACGAGTGATTTAACTTCACCTGTGGAATCATGCACACGAAGAGAAGTTTCCTCAAGGACGAGAGGCTGGGGTTTAAAACTGAGAAAACCTTCGGGTCAGAACAAAAGAACTAAAGACACAACCTGCACGGTCCAGGCACAGACCTGGTAGGGGTCACAAGATGGAGGAGAGCCCACCTGCAGAGGTCATTGTGGGTTATATTGGATTTATATCATTTCAAACTTGGGGTGAAAAGAGTAGAAATCTAGGCAATTTCTACAAACAGTCAAGCAAGGAGAATGAAGTTCCTTGGTATATTGGTTTCCTAGGGAGGATTTAAGACAAAGGCCCCAAGGAAAGCTCCGGTACAGTGGGATTCATTTCTTCTCCCCTGGAGCTTTTAATTCTGGCCAAGATTCATTCTGCTCTAGTGAGGCCCAGCCAAAGTTTATTACTTAAATTTGGAAGTGAATGATTTCCGGTTATTGCCCACTGCATTGTGACTGTGGTTTCCCATTCTTCCACAGGTACACAACTGAGCACTCTGTGGCTCAATCTTAACTGTAACTAAAATGACTTACCTGCCCCAATTGTACAGGTATTATGACTAAAATGCTAATGATATTTATACAAAGCAGTCAACTAGGCACACAGTATTTTAAAACTGAATTTTTATTATGATTTATATTAAAATTTTGTGTTGGATGTTATTTGTTAGTGTAAAGGCTTAAGGTGCACAATGGGTGTCTTTTCTCCGTCCACCTTTATTGAGATAGTGTCTGACACAGAACCAGAGGCTCACTGTCTGGATAGGCTAGCTGACTTCAGCAATCCTTCTCCCCAGCAGAGGTTACAGGAGTTCGTGTCACCTTGGCCTCTGACTTGTGTTCTGGTGTTTTGACCTCTGCTCCTTGATGGCATGCCCTTTACTGACTGAACCATCTCCTTTGCCTATTGCAATTTTTAAGTGCTCCTTCATGCCAGATTTCAGTGTGGTGTGAGAACCCAAGGGGAAGTGGGAGGAAGATGCTTCTTGGAGCTCCTTTCTGGAGGTCAGTGAGGTCAAAGCTATTTCCTGTCTTAAAGACAGGGTCTTCCTACGTAGTCCTCGCTGGCCTGGCACTCTTCCCTGTAGACAAGATTGGCCTCGAACTCACAGTTTCTGTTACGTGAGTGCCTGGGTTTAAGGTGTGCACCACCACAGCCCACCAAAGTATTTCCTCATTCTCTCAAAGTATGGTGGGACTGTCTATAACTATTCAAAAACGGACAGTACCAAAACTCAGAAGCAGCTAGACGATCCAAGGGTTTTCAAAAGGAGACATTAGTTTTCTCACTCATTTTTTTAATTTTTGAAGTTACTTGTCATGTATTTGGACATAAATACAATTAATGTTGATATACCCTACGGAAACACAAATTCATTCAGCCCTCTTTTTTTTTTTTTTTTTTTAGGCGTAAGGCGATCGCTGTTCTGATGCAATCCATGTTTGAACAATCACAGACACCACAACTTGCTCTCCAAGTCCACACAGCTTTTTGCAGTGGTTACCTCACCCTGGACTGAACTTCTTCCGTTTCTGCCTGTCAAACGTCCCAGTCCATCTAAAACATGTGGTGACGCCCATGGTGACTCCCGGCCAGCCCAAAGCTAACCTCCCACCGCGGACTGAGGCTCCGGTTAGGCATCCGGACTTCCGGCTCCGCCAGGCCACACCCGGCCGCTTCCAGGCTGCAGCCGCCCGGAAGGCCACACCAGACGCTAGACCCAGAGAGGGCGTTTCCGGCGCGCCCCGCCTCGTGAGGACCTAGCCACGCCCACTCCGAGGGGCGTGGTCTCCGACCGGCGCGGGAAAAGGGGCCGGCGCCGCGTGTGCGCGCTCAGCCGGCGATCGCGCGCAGGACGTTCGGGGTGGGGATGGCGGCGGCGGCGGCGGCGGCGGCTGGGAGCGGGACGCCCAGAGAGGAGGAGGCTCCTGGAGGGGAGGCCGCGGCTACGCAGGCCCAAGCCCCGACGACTGCACCCAGGGCTGGGCTCTCCAGGCTGCCTCTGGCCAGAGTGAAGGCTCTGGTGAAGGCGGACCCTGACGTAACGCTCGCGGGACAGGAAGCCATCTTTATCCTGGCGCGTGCCGCGGTACGGCGGGAAAGCAAGGGCGCCGGGGTCGGGGGGAGTGGCGCGAGGGGGCGTGGCTCGGGGCGTGGCCTGGCGGGCCCAGGTGTGCCCACCTGACTTGTCAAGAGGCCTGGGAAGGCGTTTGCAGGGCCCTTTGAGTTTGTTTGCCACTCGCGTCTTAACGAGGGCCCACTCAACTTTAGTGTGCGTCTCCGGTGACTCACGTGGAACCCGAATGGGTCCACAGTGATTGAGTGGGGTGGATTCATAAGTATCAGCAGGAGGAGGATGAACCGGCTAGTCTATTAGGGGAAGGAATAGCAGAAGTATCTTCATGAAGTTAAGGGCAACCTTAGCTTCTAGAACTTTCCAGTATGGTAGAATCGCTCTCACCCTTCGTGCTCCGCTTATACACAAGGTCACCCCCCTCCCCCCAATCAACTAATCTTTCCTCTGCTTGTTTGCTCGCAGGAACTGTTCGTGGAGACTATCGCGAAGGATGCGTACTGCTGTGCTCAACAAGGAAAGAGGAAAACCCTCCAGAGGAGAGATTTGGGTAAAATCCCTGGGGTTCCTCAGGGTGCACACGGGAACCATGGGCTAGGTTGGCTTTTTTTCTTGATTCGTTCGTTTTGGTTTTTCGAGACAGGATGTCTCCGTGTAATAACACCTAGCTAGAACTTTGCTCTGTAGACCAGGCTGGCCTGGAACTCACAGAGATCCACCTGCCTCTGCCTCAGAGTGCTGGGATTAAAGGCGTGCGCCATCACTCCCTGCCGGCTAGACTTTCTTACACCTGGTTCACAAGGCATCACAGGCCTGGGGAAGTTTGGGTTTCGATTTGTTCATCTAGCAGGCAACCCTTGCACATGCGTAAGCTTTTACAGACCGTATCTCTCACTTCTGTCTTGCCAAGCTCTTTTTCTTTAGAAAGAGTAACTTTAGAGTGGAGAGAAAAGTGGATTTAGGTACTAAACAGGGCTGTAGGAGGTCTTACGACTAGAGAGTGTTTGCCTGGGCTTTTATAGGGAGACAGTTAATACGTAAGAATTAATAGTGTAAAAATGGATCTCACAACATCAAGGGATATATTTTATAATAATGTCCTTTGCATAAAACCCCATATCTTTATGCAAATAAAGATTGTGGACTGTATTGTTTTGGGTCTGAGGTCCAAGTGCCAAGAGCCAATCAATATTCCTTTTTCTTGTGTTTCAGATAATGCAATAGAAGCTGTGGATGAATTTGCTTTTCTAGAAGGTGAGTTCACCGTTAGCACAGATTTTTTTCCTTGCAGGTGATGTGAGTTCAAACCTTACAGAAACAAATGCCTGCTTTTCCTCTGTACATGGAAACAGTTCTCCCTGCTTCCTATTTAAAAAAAAAAAAAAGAAAGAAACATTTTCCATTCTTGGGAGTTAGAGAATTCTGGGGAATTGTTAGCTTAAAAGGAGAAGGGGAGTATAAAAACACTGGCGGAGTTAGCAGGATTTAGAGTTTGAATCCTATGTAAATCTCCATCCCTAAATATCAGCCTTGCCCCTTGTCGTGTTAGGAATTAGAAACAATTTGTAGATTTTTTAAAGATTAATTTTTATTTATGTGTCTGTGTTTTTGTTTGAGTATATGATATGCCACACGTGTGCAGGTACTCAGGGGGTCAGAAGCGGCATCCAATCCCCTGGAGCTGGAGTTACAGGTGGTTGTGAGCTGCTAAACAGTGCTCTGGAGGAGCAGCAACCCTCCAATCACTGAGTGATCTCTCCACCCTCAGTTCCTAACTTTTAAAGATAGGGGCTCCTGTAGCTCAGCACCGTGAACTCAGCTTCAAGTGACCTTTAATTCCTTTTCTTCATCACCTCCCATGTGGTAGTAAATAATAATAATAATATAATGATCTGATGCTCGTTACTTACTCTTCACTCTGTTCTGCCTCTCTGTCAGCCTGTGTCCTGGCACTCTATATGTTCTTTTCAAATGTCTTCTAAGATCCCTTCCCAGTGGTTGCTTCAAGTCTAGATTTTTGAGAATTCTCCTTAAGTTGTAGATCTTTGTCTTTCCACCTTCAGTTAATGGTCATAGCCCAGTATATGGTCATCCTTGGCAGTGTTCTGTATATGCTTGAAGAGAATATTCTAGTTGCTAGGTCCAAGGCCAAGGGATACTGTGCAGATATTCTGTTTTGTTTACTTATTTTACTTATAGCCTGTTAAATTCTTCAGTCACAACTGCAGGTTATTTTCACTTACAATTCTGTTTCTGTTTTTTATGTAAGACCACGTGGTTAGGTTTGTAAAAGTTCAAAATTATATTGTTTGTGACAATATTTAATATATAGATTGACTGATGTTGTTTCTAGTAGTGATTTTGAGGCTCCCGCTTAAAGGGTGTTATTCCACCTTCCCATTTGGACAGACTCTTGAGGTTTGATGTTGCTTCCCTCAGCCTGCCAAACAGCCACTCAGCCGTCTCTCAGATTGGCAGATGCCTTCAGGGCCACCACAGCTTTGGAGCTGGCCTGATTTTGTGACTTGGCCCTCTCTAGGTTGCAGGTTTGTGTGATGATTTGTTTTCAATTATTGAGAAATTTTATTTTTATAATAAGTTTAGCTTTGTTCCTTGCTCTCAACAGAGATTTGCCAAAGTTGCAAGGCATGGTGGCTCATGCTTGTAAATCCCAGACCTTAGGACACTGAGGCAGGAGGATTTTAAATTTGAGGCCAGCCTGTGCTACAAAAAACTCCAATCCATTCTAATCAGTGACTTGCTTCCTCAGACAACAACACAAAATCCCAAAGAAATTTATGATTTGTTTTTAGTTAAAAGTGTCTCTGGTTTGATTTTTTTTCTAATGTTTAGTTCCCTGAAATATGCTTTATTATATAATTAATAACTTTGGCCTCTCCTTGTACTGTGTAGGCTCCTTTAGTGCTTTTTCTGTGCCAACATGGGAGGGTAGTAAGGCTTCTTGGGGAGCTGTGTGTCTGGAAAGCGGTGTGTTGTTGCTCTGCAGCCTTCCTCCAGGGTGGATAGAAGAGGCAGTGGATGTCATGCCCAGGCCCTACAAGCCAGAGTGCAGAGTACCCCCTGGCGTGCGCTTGCCAGAGGCTGCTCTGGTTTCCCCAGATAGGCAGGTCACTCCTGTGCTTTTTACTTCTTCTTTTCCATATATGTTTAACTCCCTAGCTTCTGCCAAGGGAGGATTGTAAGAGGCATGTGGGGAGGCAAGCCTGTGTCACATGGGTCCTGAGCTCCTTTCCTCTCACTTCTGTGTCAGTCCTGGTAACCGGGTCTAGTGCAGTGGTTCTCAGCCTTCCTAATGCTGCAGCCCTTTCAGACAGTTCCTCATGTTGTGCTGACCCAACCATAAAATTATTTTTGTTGTGACTTCATAACTGACTTTGTACTGTAATAAATTGTAATTAAATATATTTGGAGATAAGATAAGGGGTTGTGACCCATAAATTGAGAACCGCTGGTCTAGGGCCTTCTGCTGGTTCTGTGGTGGGAGATAGTGCCTCTTTCTTGCATCCCCCTCTCTATCAGGCGCAAGTCTTTTTTGCTCTATTTATAAATACGCTTCAGTGAGATGCTGACCATTCCTTTTCTGTTGTTGAATTTGCCCACCTGCTATTGGATCTTGGTTCTCTGTTGTGGATTTATGTCTTTTTAAAAGCTTTTTCTCTTTTGGATAGAATCTTGGAGGGTATGCAGACCTGTGTGCTCAGGTGCCCAGTGTAACCTAGGACCTTCTGAGAAGAGATTAGAGGGACTGGAGAGATGGCTCTACTTTAGTAGAGGCTCCCAGTTCAGTTTCAGTACACACACTGTGACTCTAGCTGCAGGGCATCTTGATGCCTTCTTCTGGTCTAATTGGGCATTGTATATGCACACTCACATACAAAAATACATGTAAATTATAAATGTTTCGCTTAGAGAACCTTTATCGGTTTTTAATGTTCACTGAGTAATGCCTCAGTTATTTAGCTCTCCCCAGCTTTAACTCCAGCCCCGAGTCCAGTTCTGTGCACTGGTCTTAGTCCCAGATGACTACTTCTCCAATGACATCTCCCCGCGGGTCTTTTGACCAGTGTTCTTCATTGCTCAGATTGGAACTGCTATTATCAGGAACGCCCATGTGCTTTAACTTTGCCCAGTGTGTGACCCCCCAGGCTGAGACACCGTGCTTTACACATTGCCCTTTCTGCTTTAGGTACCTTGGATTGATTACAGAGCTGGATGACTTGGTGAGCCTTTGCTGCATCCTTCATCTTTCCCTGTGCAAGCCTCAGCTTTGGAGAGAGTCTGCGCATGCACACAATCTTCTTCTACTTTACTCAAGCTGCAGAGATCTCCACAAAGTCTTCCCTTCCTCAGTCTTCCACAGCCTGGATGTAGCCTACGCTGCTTGGGGCAGCGATGAGAGGACTGTTCCGCATAAGTGTGGCTCAGTGAGTGAGGAGACCAGAATAAAGGTCTTTGGTCAGCTTCGCTCCTGTGTTTTATGGTCCTGCCTTTGCTCTTGCCCTGTGACTGGAGAACCCTGTGGTCAGGCACAGATGTTTCCTCATCTACCAACCATCCTGAGTCAACGTTTTTATTAACTTTGTTCTTTCTCAGCATGTCATTGGAATGTGGGTCTATAATTTATGGGATACCGTAACTCCTCCTTAGGAATCGAATCAATGTGGTCCTAAGTTTTTTTTTTTTTCCTAAGTTTTATTGAAGTATAATTCATGTGTCATAAACAATTTAAACTGTAAAGTTCAGTGTTTCTTTAATATTCATAGGTATGTGTAGCGACATTTTGAACATCTTCCTGTGAACAGATTCACATGAGTCTTTTGTTTGACAAGATTTAGATTATGTTATTTAAATTTTATCTATGCTATCATATGTATTTGTACCCTTTCCTTTAAGTTGTGAGATATACATAATATAAAGCTTCCCATTTGAGCTGCTTTCCAGTGTGTTCTCGGTGGCGTTGAATATATCAGTGTCGCGTTGCACAACCGTCGTCATCCTTCGCCTGCAGAGATTTGTCATAACGGTCTCAGCCTGGAACATCAGGTGCATGGAACACTGACTTCCTTTCCCTTTCTCTTCCTGTGCCTGTGTGAGGTGTGGGTGGTGTATCTGGAGCATTTAGAATGTTCAGGAAGGCAACAGAAAGCCTTGGCTGGTGCTTCTTACAGTATTCTACAGTGTAGATATCTTTTAATACCAAGTCTGAAGGCTGTTTTCTCTAGAATAATAAACTCAGTTTTGTAACATGTTAAAAATAAACTTTCAGAAAAATACTAGGTTTATAGAAAGCGTGTTTGGGTCCTGCTTACAGAGTCCCCGTGGTTGACATTTCAGTGTTACCAGGAACTGACATTAACGGGTTACTGTTTGTTCAGTTCAGGTTTTTATTTGAATTTTACTACTTTTCCATTAGTATCCTTTGTTTTGAGAGCTAATCCAGAGTATTAAATTATTCTTGCTTCTTTTCTCTCCCCAGTCTTTCAAGTTTGTTAGTTTTGTTTTTAATTTGTGTGTGGTTGCACATGCAGAGATCTGCTGTTGTGTGGGTTCCAGGGACAGACTCGGGTCATCAGGCCCCAATGGTTGGGCAGTGAGTAACTGCTTTACCTGCTGTTCTGTCTTGCCAGCTCTGTTTCCTTGTCTATCTGTCTGTCTCCTTTTTAACTGAGTGTGTGTGCCTGTGCCTATGAGAGCAGGAGCAGATTTGTAAGTGCCAGTTATTTACTTACCGGGACAACGTCACCCGATATGGTTGTGAGGAATTAAATCAGGCTGGTTGGAGGGGCTGCAGCACAACTGAGGCTGTGACAATTTTATTGAGAGCAATCAGACTTTGTATACTTTTATCAGAAACAGAACATAATGGCACTGCCAGGATCAGTACAGTTGTATTGCCAGAATACAATGAAATTTGCAAGCTGTACAGGTTATTGTACAAGGTTATTGTCTAAGACCAATTCTCCTGTCAGGTTTCCATGCTTCCTTGGCTTCTGAGGGAACATACAGGGAAACACAGAGTGGCCTGAACGCTCTACTGCCTGAGGGAGTGTGCCAGTCTCTCAGGAACTGGAAGGCACACAGTGCTCAGGAGCCACAGACGCTAACCTGAAAACCTCTGACGACTGCCTCAAGGCGGTTAGACCAAGCCAACTCAGTGGTGCTTTTTCTTGGGCATCTTGCTGGCCCTGTCCTTATTTTTTATTCCATTGACAGCCTTGACTAATGCTGGCCAAGGACCCTGTAGCCTCTTCCCCAGCCCGGTTTGTATTTTTTTTCCTGTGACTAGTTAAACCTGTAATTGCACATAATTTTGAGTGTTGCACAAACCCAACAATAGGCCTGTTATTACAAATATTTGAAAGGGCACACTTTTATTCAAGAGGAAATTAAAATGACAGGTTTTGGCCAATAGTGGGAGAGACTAATAGTGTATGCTATCAGCATTTCTTTCTATAGCAAGGTTAATGTTGGTATTTATTTTCATTTGTGTGTGTGCATGTGTGTGTGTGTGTGTGTGGTGTGCATGCATGTTCACATATGTGTGTAAGCCAGAGTTTGGTTGTCTTCTTCAGTCATTCCACTTTATTTATTGAGGCAAGGCCTCTAAATTAAACTCCGAGCTTGCAGCTTGCTAGTCTGATTAATTTAGCCGACTAGCTCTGGTCCCAGAAGCTCCGACCTGCCTCTGTGTTGGGGTTATTGGTGGGTGGCCATGCCCACCCAGCGTTTGTATGGGTGTATGGGGATTTGAACTCTGCTTCTCCTGCGGATGTAGCAAATACTTCTACTTGCTGAACCATCTGCTTTGGCCACATTTCCTGAAAAATAAAAATTCCTTATTGATGGCATACTCTTTAAAGATATAAACTGAAAGGGTGTTAGATGCTGTCACTGGAACAATATGAGTTAGTACTCTTGAAATTTCCAGGCACAGTGATGCACGCCTTTGATCCCAGCACTCAGGAGGCAGAGGCCGGCAGATCTGAGTTCAAGGCTAGCCTGCTCTGAAGAATGAGTTCCAGGACAGTTTAGGCTACACAGAGAAACTCTGTCTCGAAATGAATGAATGAATGAATGAATGAATGAATGAATGAATCGATAAATAAACAAGATTAGGTAGATAAAACCATCCTATGGGACTAGAGAGTTGGTTCGTGGTGAAGAACACTTGTTGCTCTTATAGAGCACACGGGTTGGTTCCCAGTTCCACATAACGACTAAAAGCCATCCCTAACTTTAGTTCCAGGGGATCTGACATGCTCTTCTGACCTCTGTGGACACCAGGCACCCATGTGGTGTGCTTACACACCTGCAGGCAAAACACTCTTACACATAAAATAAGTTACAAAAGCAATGCCCATTATTTTAAAAAGTAGTAGTATTGAGCCAGGCATGGTGGCGCATGCCTTTACTCCCGGCATGCATGAGGCAGAGGCAGGTGGATCTCCAAGTGTGAGGTTAGTCTGGTCTACATAGTGAGACCCTGTCTCAAAAGAAAAATGTTAGTATTGAATTCAACTAGGACATTTTGATTTTTGTTTCCTTTCTTCTTTTGAGTGCTACATCATGTAAAATGCATGTAAAATCTACATGTAAGTGCATGCAGTCTAACAAGTGTCTTATTTCCTGATCTTTAGACCTCTTTCCCCTGGTGGCATGCCTGTGATGTCATATTACAGGCAAAACCAAAACAAACAAGCAAAAAAACAAACAACAAAAAACAAAATGTAGATTATAATTTAGGTAGACTAGTCCATTGACTTTAAAGTTGATTATCCTGGGACCTCAGGAGGCCCCAATACACGTTCCCTGAAAAGCAGCAGCGCTTTCTCTTGGCCCAGGGTAAAAGGATGTCAAAGTCAAGCAGGAGAGAAAAGGCCTTTTTTAACTTTTGTGGGTTTTGTGGATACGGGGAACAATGAGTCATGGATAGACACTCAGATCTGCCGTAACGACAAGTCGCGAGTTCTCCAGGAGATGGTCCTGGTCACTGTGGCCCCGGCATCTGGCTTTGGTGGTGGCTTTCTCTGCTGATCTCAGTCTAGTGAGTTTGCCACAGCCCCTGGCCCACTCCAGCCTTCATGTTCTGTGTAGTGCTTTGTTGCTGGGAGCTCTTGTCCCTGCTGCGTGTGACTTCCAAGTTCTTTTACTGGCGTAAAAGTAAGCGGGCTCTTGAAATATAAACATCCAGTCACTGTCATGGCTAGCAGCGTGTCACTGTGGTTTTCATTTGCATTTATCAAATGCGTTATGCAAATGCTTAGTCCCAGTCCCACCACATACATATTTTAATGTCTGCTGAGTAATTCTTGTGTTCCGCTCTGTTGGCGAGTTGACTTCAATGAGGCTCTTGGACTACCAGGACTCCCTGCGTTTTTGCTTATCTTTTTACGACTGGAGCAGCAGGACTCCCCTTGTCAGGATCTCCTGTATTCTCAGTGTCACTCGTGGGCTAATGGACCAGAAGGGGTTGGGCATTTCCAGTGTGTCTGTCTGTCTGTCATGCTAGAGTTGAGCTAGATGGAGGAAAACATGAGTCACTAAAGCCCGATGCTAACATTGTAAAGCCCAGTTATAATCTGTCAGCACCTTTTGTATGCATGTGTGTGTTAGTGCACATAAGCATGCTTGTCTGAAGAGGTCAGAGGTGTCAACTGGATCCCCGTGGAGCTGGAGTTATAGGCAGCTGTGAGCTGCCTGATATGGTTCTGGGAATCAAACTCCTGTCTTCTGTGAGAGAAGTTTGCGCTTTTAACCACAGAGCTCTCTCTCTAATCTCAACATAGCTTTTTGAGACAAGGTCTCAAGTATTCCAGGATGGCCTTGAAATTGCTGTGTTAGCGAGGGTGACCCTGAAGTTCTAATTCTGCCTTCTCAAGTCGTGCTGGGGATTAGACCCAGCCCCTTGTGCATCCTCAGCCCGAGGCCGAGTGTTATAAAGAGCATCTCATAACAAAGGTTAGAAAAATTTGCAGTCTTGTTTTTCATTTGTACTAGAGCTGGGGATCTGATGGTTCCACTTCACGCTAAGTAGCTCAGAGCAGCTCGAATGTAAGGCTTTTTCCCTTTTATGTTTTCTAATTATTGGTTTAGAATGTTCTCTGTCTCATCTTGGGTTTTATGTTTCTTCCCTCCTTTCTCAAAGAAACTTGTTTTTCTTGAGGAGGTCTTTTTGTTCCATTCTTTTAATTTTGTCAGCTGCAATATGTTTGTTTCGAATTTGAAATGATGTTAGCAGAATTCTACATTTTTAAAGAGGCATATATTTCTCTTGGTCAATTCTTGTTTGCTTTCTATTGCTGTGATAAAAACCCTGACCACAAGCAACTTGGAGGAAGAAAGGGTTTATTTCATCTTATGTTCCCAGGTCCCGGTCCATCATGAAGGGAAGTCAAGGAAGGGACCTGAAACCCGGTAGCAAATTCTTGCAGGCTTGCTTCAGGCTCATGCCTAGCTAGGTCTCTTAACCTGCCCAGAGCCTAAGGATGGCACTGCCCACGGTGGGCTGAGCCCCCATATCAGTTAATTGTCAAAGTCATCTCCCACAGACGTGCCCACATACCAAGCTGATCCCGGCAGTTTCTCTACTGAGGCTTTTTTCTCAGATGACTTTAGATTTATGGTTGGGGGTGTGGTGGTTTGAATAGGTATGACCTCTATAGACTCATGTGTTTGAATGCTTGGCCCATAAGGCATGGCACTATTAGGAGGTGTGCCCTTGTTCCTGGAGTCAGTGTGGTCTTGTTGGAGGAAATGTGTCACTGTGGAGGCAGGCTTTGAGGTCTCATATACTCAAGCTATGCCCGGTATGGGACACAGTCTCTCCTGCTGCCTGTGGATCAAAATGTAGAACTTTCAGCGTCTTCTCCAGCACTATGTCTGCCTGCATGCCACCATGTTTCCCGCCATGCTGGTAATGGACTGGATGTTACCTCTGAAACTGCAAGCCAGCTCCAATGAGATGTTTTCCTCTATAAGAGTTACCGTGGTCATGGTGTTTCTTCATAGCAATAGAAACCCTAACTAAGATAGGAGGTCACCAAAACATATGGACTTTATTAAAGGATCAAAGCATTAGCAAGGTTGGAAAATCTCTGGATTAAAGTCATGAACAACCACTGCCTGGCTATTTTTTGTGCACACACTTGCTGTGTGTCCATGACTACATCGGCCATGCTTTATCCAGAAGACAATATTTTCACAGTACTCTTTCCTAATCTTTAAGTCTTAGAATCCTTCCATCCCCCTTCTGTGTTGTCTCCTGGGCCTTGGA